TTCAAACGTCGAGATCTGATGAAAACTCGATTTTTGCAAAACGGGGTAAAAACAATAACTTCCCGATTTTTGAAAATCTTCGATTTTCTTAGCGGGAAGTTAAAAATAGTGTGTTTTTTTGAAACACTTTAGTGGACAGCGTGTGCAGTAACCGGAGGGTTCAGCGCAGTGATGTGAGAGTCCGTGAGACCACACGAACTAAGTTAGAGTATCGTGAAGGTCCAGGGAACAGCGCGAAGTAGATAGAGTAGTGTAAGGGTCCAGTGGACAGCGGGCACTGCAGCAACGTGAGGGTCCAGCTGGACAGCGCGAGATATACCGTATGAGAGTGGGACGTGAGTATGTGATTATCCTATGAATTTCTATTAATTGTTGTAAGGCCTTATTTCAATTGTAAAAAGGATTGGATAAATATATAATATTGTAAAACGAATTTCTGAGTACAAGTTCTGGTTCCTTCAGCAATCTCTCACGATCCTGATCTATTACTCTATGTTCTGGTCCAGTTCTGGATACTGACTCCAAAATGCATCGGCGCCCTTAATAAATAAAAGCCCTGGTTTAACGATATTAAACCATTGGGTTAAGCCTCTGCCGGGCTTTGCTCAATGGCTGATACCCAGGGCTCGGCAAATGACAAGTGGCTCAAGACACAGCTATTCGTCAAGCATTCACGAATCCTAGCTGGGACAGGAAAGGTCTTTCGATGTATATCAAAAAAAGTCAAAAAATTAAAAAAATAAAAAAAAAATTTTTTTTTTAATAAAAAAATTAAAAAAAAAGAAGAAATATCATTAACATTATAAATGATTTATAATATACAAAATTATTAACATTACAATTAAAAATGCATCACCCTAATAAACATACTATATATATATATATATATATATATATATATATATATATATTTTTAGTATACATAACATGTATTATTTTTTATTTAATAATAGATATTTTATAATATAATTAATACAACGTACATCTAAGTAATAAATGCACTTGGTTAAATTGATAAAATATAAGCTCCATGATATGTATGGTATAAAATAATAGATAAAAAAAAAAAACGTGAAAAATAAAAATTCATTTATTTCTATATCTTCATATAAAAATTGCACTTTTTAAAATCTCATCGGAATTTAAAATATTTTTTACGAAATTTGTATATTTTTAATCAATTACTATCGATTAAAAGCATAACTACTATATAAAATAGATTCGCCAATTCACCAAGGCGGTTTGATAAGTACTATTAAAATTAATTATTTAATCGATAAATGATAATAAAATAATTAACTTGTGCAATTTAGAATTCTAATAAATTATTTGAGCTTTTTAATTTTTATGGCCGATTTTAATTTTTATTATTAATTAATAATAATTAATAATCTAAATAAACGATAAATATTTATAAGTATAATAGTATCGAAGCTTTTCTTAAAATTATAATAACAATTTATTAATTAATACTAATTGCAGAGGTAAAATAATTAGCTATTATTTTTTTTTTTAATACATAAGAAGCGTAAAAAAAGATCATTATTATTAAGTACCGTTCTCGTAGGCCGTATTTTTTTTTCTTTTAAGTTATTTATAAATTATTTCATTTAAAATTTAATCCTCACCCTACTTGTTCTCATTTGTTCACTTTTACACAATATTTACATACTCTATTATTAAATAGGGATTGAAAAAGAACAATTCGGTTTTTACCTGACTTAACATTGTGTCTTGGTGAGTTTTCTTCATTTGTAGGCTGGGAGTACGCCTGCAACATAAAAAATAATAATTAAATTAAATAAACGTAGATGAATAATTAATTTAATTATGAATTGAATTCTCTGGTGTAAGATTTTTTTTTTATTTTTGTAATTAAAAATCTACTTGGTACTTTTATATTTTAATGTTATTTAGTATTCATTACAAAAAAAAATAGTTGAATTTTTAATTATTAAATTTCAATCAATTATTTTTTAGGAATTGAATTAATTTTATTGAATTGAATTTTTGGTTTTTATAAAAAATTTTTTTTATTATAAAAAATTTTTAGATTTTTTTTAGTATTTTGTAGATCAATAGTGGAATATTTGATGAAAATAATTAATAATTCGAGCTTAAATCTATCTTCTAATTTATGACATATATATCGATAGTCCTCTCAGTAAAATTTAATACTTTGACTTTGGATATGAATTATTAAGTAACCATGTAATCGGTTTATCCTCTTGGGTCTTAGCATAAGTAAATAAATAAATAAATAAATACTAGCTTTTAGTTAATAAAAAATAATTTAAATAAATAAAAAAGTGATTTGTTTTTAAAAAATGAAATTTTTTTGTTTCTCCTCAATTAAAATAATTTTTATAATAAAAAAGTTTGAATTTAATAAAAATAAAAAATTTAATTTATAAAAAATTTAGTGTAAAAGTATCGAAATATTTTGATACTTTCCATTTTTATAATAAAAAATTAGAATTAGATTTTTAAATAGTTAAAAAATTTATGGGTGTATTTTATAGCACAAATAAAAGTAAATCCTGAAAATACATGAAAGTATTTTTATATAAGTATCAATATAAATTTTTATTTACTATAAATAATTTGTACTGCTATTTCATAATAATGAAATCAACATAATTAATTTTTATAAATCTATATTACTAAGAGAATAAGAAAAATTTTGTAACCAGGATAGTCATATGATAAAATCAGTTTTTTAGTGAAATTTAGTGTCATTGCAAAGGTCTTGATATGAATTTGTGCCTTTTCAAGGTTTTATAGCATTCTCATCGATTAGTCAATTTATTATGATAAGTACTTAGGCTGCATAAGTACTTACCCTGTATCTTGTGAATTATTGACATTTTTGAAGATATAAGCTCACCCCGACATGACACTCATCGAGACCTTTCATTTGAGTACCCACATCAATTTTTCATATACTTTATATACATCACAAATATATCAAATATCATACATACAAAATATATATGAAAAATGCATGTGGGTACTCAAATGAGAGGTCTCGATGAGCGTAACATCAAGATGAGCTTATATCTTCATAAATGTCAATAATTAAGAAATGACCTTGTATCTTGTGAATTATTGACATTTTTAAAGATATAAGCTCACCCCAACATTACACTCGACGAGACCTTTCCGTTGAGTACCCACATCAATTTTTCATATATTTTATATATTTATGTATATTATATATATATGATAAATATATGAAAAATATATCAAAATGCATGTGGGTACTCAAATAAAAGGTCTTGATGAGTGTAGCATCGGAATGAGCTTATATCTTTAACAACGTCAATAGTTAAGAAAGTACATCGCAATTTAACATAACTCATTATTCTAATTAAGCAAAATTTTATTTATTTATAGTTCACAAGTCACGGCAGTAACGTAGTGACTGCCAGTTTGCTAGTTTAACATTAATTATTTTAAATACCAACTTAAAATTCTTTCAAATACTTTGAATTATTTGATTATTTTATATTTTGCTTAAATAAAATTTAAACTATTTTCTCTCTGTTTGGATGCTGGGTTACTCACCCTGGAGGAGAGAAGGATCTGTGCTTTGATACTTTTTGTAAAAGGCCTATTCAATAGTAGCATAGAATGTCCTAGATTTTTGCAACAGTTTGCAATAGCAGTCCCACAAGCTAACACTAGGTCAAACCCTACGTTTTATCTTCACTCAGTTCGTTCAAACCTGGCTAGAAATTCTCCACTTTACAAACTGATGTCTCTATGTAACTACATATGCGACAATGATCAAATGAAATTAGACATAATGTGCTTTAATCAGCCCTTGACGGTCAGCGTGCTAGCAACCATTTTAGTATCTAAGAGAGCCAATTACGAATTTATAACCACCTGACGTTTTGACTTATGCATTTCCTATATAATTAATGTTACTAATCTTACTTACTATTAATACTATTTATTTCATAATGTTATTAATTTAATTTACTGGAATGATAATAAATTTAGATTAACCATTCTCAATTATTAACAGAATACCTTTGGCCGCTGTCTTCTCTTTAAGTCTTAATTTTTAGTGTCAATTTTGTCTTCTGAATTTACTAATTGATTAGTTAAAAATTAGTGTATCTAATTATAAAAATTAGTTGGTATCTAAAATTGTATTATGATTTTGTAAAAATTTTATATATTGTATTTGCATTATGATTTTGTAGAAATTTTATATATTGTATTTGCGACTGTATACTTATGTGACCCTGTTAATGGCCATTGGCTGTTGGGTCTTTTTTAAAGAAATAAATAAATAAATAAACTATGCAATTTTTTAAATAATTATCCAAAAAATTTTGTTTCTTTTAAAAACATCTAATAAAAAAATATTTTATAAAAAAAATTAATTTACCTCACTAGTCAATCGTCTAATTTTTCCAAAATTGGTATCATTAAATTTTCCAAGATCCTGCTTTTCCTCGTGATTGTCACACACCGTACACTCAATAGCTCCTTTACTTTTACTGAAAGGTCGTGGTGGAGCTCGACGCTTTACTTTTTTAAACTTATTAGCACCCGTCGTTTTATTGCCATTGAACATAACTTTTTTGTGACAAATTTGACTTATTGACGATGAGTTTCTCAAACAAGACCCCGTTGGCTTTAGATTAAATTCATCTGAACTCAAATTTTTACCACCATTAACTTTATAATCAATCACACCCCCACGTTTCTTCACCAATGTATGCTCAATCTCAACTACTATTTTTTTATCATTCATATTTATTTTAATATCTTTTTCTACACACGAATCTGAAGCAATATCACTATTTTCATTTCTATAATTATTATTATTAATTATTATATTTTTTTTAGAATTATTAATCTGGTCATTTTTTCCATAATTGTGACTAACTCTACCAGATTTTTTACGTCGTAATGTATATGTCTTTTCAATAATATTATTGTCAATACCATTATTATAATTATTATTATTATTATTATTATTTATACAAAGACGACTAATTTTATCATCCGTAAAATTAGATATTATTTTTGCCGGTAAAATAGGCGGATTATTATTTTTCTTCATACGTTTAAGACTAGTAGTATCGTTATTGTAATTATCGATCTCCAGATCTTTATCATCAGTCTTTTTACCTATATTACAGGCACTATTGTTCATAGATATTACACAATTTATTCCATTATTATTTTTATTACTATTACTATTAACATTATTTATTTTTCCTACCATCACTTTCTTGTCACTATCATTTTTATCTGTGACCTGACTTGGAATAGAAATTTTTTTTAATTTTAATTCATTAAAATTAGTAACAAGCTCGTTTAATAAATCATTTTTCATTTGATTCGGAGTTTTTGAATGATTTTTTTTATCAATTTTATTTGCATTTTTCACACTTTTATTTTCATAATTAAACTCTTTTGATTCATTCTCTAAATTTTGAATCTTTAAATCATGGAAAAATTTATTATTTTTTTCACAATCAAAATCAAAAGAACCATTTTGGTTTTTATTTTTATTTAATGTAAAATTTTCATTAGTCAGCTCCCTTTTAAATGTCGCAAAAGGTAAATTACTGGCTGTAATAGTAAAACATGTAGTTTCTTCACTTATACCATCATTATTAATTTTAGTTTGAAATTTTTGAGAGTTTAATTGGTGGGAGACTCTATTCATATCTGAATGCTCCATCACACTTTCAAAGTCTCTGGTAGTAAATAAAAGCGTAGGATTATTTTTAATTTTTAATTTTTTATCCTCTTGGATTTTTGGTTCTTTAATTACTGGAATATTTAATTTTTTTTTATTTAAATTTGATGAATATTTTATTAAATTTTTGTCATTATCTTCTTTAATTAATTTATTACTGCTGGATGCTCCTGATGAAATAATTATATTTTTAATTGGTTGTTTTGGTGATAAATTACTTTTTAATAATTTATTATTGGATGAAGTTTTTTTACGACGCAATGGCACTGCTGGTGGATTATTTAATTCAACTGTAACATAATATACACTTTTTTTAATTAATCACTTTATTATTTAAATTATAAAAATTATTAACACTAAATTTTAAAAAAATTTTTTTTTAATATTTTTTTTAATTAAAAAATTCTTTTAAATATTTTTTTTTAATTAAAACATTTTTTTTAATATTTTTTGTAGTAAAAAAATTTTTTATTAAAATAAATAATTTAATTATTTAAAAAAAATATTTATAAATTTTCTAAAAAAAAATATTATTTCACATAAAAAATCATACTTTTATTCATGATGAATTAAAAATAAATATTTTATTAAATTAATAAAGAAGAAATAACTGAATTATTTATTTAATTTTTTATAGTGATGGATACGACGACTAGAGCGGCAAGTTAAAGTAAAAGATACCACGGCTCGTAAGTTACTGACGAGGATTCCATACAAATTCATTTAATCACCCTCTTCACCCTTGAACTCCTGGGTTTAGTTATAGTATAATAGAAAATAATGTCAAATCGATAGTTCAGGTTTGACTAAGTAGATAATGGTAATTTAATTTAATTAGAAATACTTGAGTTGAAAGGTTTGAATTAATATTACATTTTTTTAGTCTATAAATTTTAACTAGCAATTATTTTATATTAAATAATAATTGAAAAAAAAAATAATTTTTTTTTATCAATTATTATTTTTTTTTTGTTTAAAAAGACAATTTTATTAAATTATTAATTTTAGTGAAGAAATATCTTGAAAAAATATTCTTGTAAAAAATTGTAGAGTGTAAAGTTATTTTATAAAAAAATAAAATTAAAATAAATAATAATAAAAATAAAAAAAAATATTTTTATTGTTATCAATTATTAATTTTTCTTTTATTTAAAAAGATAATTTTATTAAATTTTAATTTTAAAGAAGAAATATCTTGAAAAAATATTCTTGTAAAAAAATTGTAGGGTAAATGCACCAGTAGTTGACCGATTAAGGATGTTTGGCATTTCAATTGATCGTAATTGAATTACGATGCATTAATTAATTTTACTAAAATTAGTAAAATTAATTAATGCATAAGATCTCAAAATTAAACAATGAAATGATACTAATTCAAAAAGTAATCATTATTAATATTAGCGACTGAAAAAAAAATTAACCAAATAAATTATCTATTGGATTTAACAGATCAAGAATTTAAGACTAATTTTTTTTTTTTTATTTACAATTCATTTATTTCAAAAGTTTCTCAATAGGTAGTTAATATTTAGAGATTTAGTCATGAGATTATCGCAATAAGTCATATAAGCCAAAGAGTGTTATAGACTATAGACGAACTTCGTTTAGATCAATATAGTCAAAAGCTTAGAATGTTCGAATGAAAAAAGTAAAAAATTCAATCTTAAAAGTTTTTAAAGAGACGTACTTTGTTCAAAGTTTTTTTAGAGTCAAGGTGTTCAAAGTATTTTTTAATGCATATAAAAAACTTTTGTTAGATAAATACTATCGTGAAAGAATTGAAGATGCGCTTTTTTTACACAGAAAAAAAAATCAAGTAAATCATTTTAAAGAATTTCATCTTTTTGATTTGAGAAATTTTTTTTGGTTTAAGTAAATTTTTCTTAATTAAAGAATTTTTCGTCTTGATTCAAGACAATTAAACATTTCAAAATTATTTTCTTGGTTTAAAATTTTTTCTCTTCATTCAAGTGAATTTTTTTTTGTATAAAATCACAGTTTTAAATTATAATTTTTACATTGTAAAATTTAAATATTACATTTAAAGCTGTGATAATTAACATGAAAAGTTTGAATTTAAAAAATGTTTAGAAAAATCAATAAATTTTTCTTGGTTTAAGTAAATTTTACTTAATTCAAGAATTTTCGGTCTTGATTCAAGACAATTAAACTCTTCAAAATTATTTTCTTGGTTCAAAAATTTTTCTCTTCGTTCAAGTTAATTTTTTTTCAGTGTATAATTCAATTTTAAAGTCTAGAATATTAAATTGTAACTATTTTTAAGTAAACAAAAATCCTAGATAGAATTAATGATTGAATTTTCTTTAAATTTAAATATAATGAATTTTTAATAAAACCGATAGTTCCAAAGTTACAAGTGTTCGAGTTGAGATAAAATTATACTTTTTAGCAAACTTTTATACTATTTACGTTAAAAAAGAATATCTTAAAACTATATTTTTATTTATATCCGAGAAATCTGATAAATTTATCGAGAATCTTTTCTTCTTTTTTTAGATAATTAAATTCTTGGCAATTTTATTATCAATAAAAACTTTTATAGTACTGACAGTTTAAAAGTTAACAGACACTTAAGCTAACAAGAAGAGAAAAAAATAAAATAAGAGTTTAGTAAACTCTCAAGTGGTTAATTTTTATTTAATAATTAAATTTAAAATGTGGAAAAAAATAATCTTACCTGATCTATATAAAAACTTGATGACTGGATGAACTTATATCCAAGTCTTCAATATTAATCAGTATGCTAGCAGAATTAATTCCATTCCTCGAAATTCCATCAATGTTATAAAAATTTTTAGCATCATAATTGCCCATTGTACTAGAAGCAGCACTGCTGTAGGCGCTAGAAGTATTCTGAACCGACGCCGTAGGATCACATGATTTAGACGGCGCTAACCATCTTGATGTCAAACTAGAAGTTGTTTGTGTGTCTAATGAATTATCTGATTTATCATTAATTGTACTTTGTAGTTGATTTCGAGTGGTCTTTATATTATCTTGATTACAAGAGTAATTATCACTGTAATTACTATGGTTAATTATTTGTGATAAGACCAATTCAATCGTTTGGCAAGAACTATTTTGAAGCAGCTTCAACGCATCTTCGTAACGAAAATTAAGTAGACTATGCCCATTTATTGCTACGATTCGATCACCTGCAAATTATTTATATTTTTAATAATTGTATTAGTTTATTTTGTTCTTAAATATTAGATATTTTTGAAGGAGTGATTGTTCAATAACACTAAAAGCATAAAAATTAATTTAACATATATTTATTAATTTTAAAAATTTTATAACAAATAAATGGCAAAAAAAAAATTGACATGTAGAAATTTTGAAAAATAAAAAATGTAATTTTTTAAAAATAAAATTTTTTTTAACAAATTTATTTGTTAAAAAAATTCAAAAAATTTTTTAGTGACTGTTATAAAGTTAGTCGACGTTTTTAATTTTTTTATTATTTTTCATTTATTAAATAAGAACTAAAAAATATTTTTTAAAAATTGTACTTATAGTTTTTCAAGTTTTTTACAAATGAAATTTTTTTTAAAATTTTTTTATAATCAATTTTTCAATTAAAAAAATTCTAAAAATTTTTAGATGTCAGCTAAATTAATTTTCATTTTTTTTTAATAAATAATATTATAAAAATTTATTGTAATTTTTTGGAAAATTTTTTCTTAGTACAGTAGAACCTTGTTAAGTTGAACCTCCTAAACTCGAAGAAATGTTTCATTTTGTTCGAAATTTTTACCCTTTATAAGTCGAAATAATTAGTGAGTCCCTACAAGCTGTTTCTGTACATATTTTCCCTCCGGAACTCGAAAAATTAAATTTTACCTCGGTATCTTGAACATAGCAATGTTTTATTTTACAACCTTTACAACTCGATTATTTGAGATTTTTAAGATGACTCGAATAATGCTACATATGCTCCATGCGTTTCTATCAAGGAGGCAAGAACCGCATTGAATACTTTACGAATTTTTATAGAGCAAACCAGCAACTCTGAAGAAGAAGAATTTTCTGTTCTTTATACCTTATACAATGCTATAGACAGAGAACAACCGAATTATCTAAAGCAAAAAAAATTACTAACTTTTTTTAATGCCACACTGATAGAAGGATTTGTTTATAGTTAAAAATATTTGTTAATATTTAACAAATCATTTATTAAAGACCACTTTTTAGTCACAAATATTTCTTAGTATTTAAAATGATTTGTTTGTATTTAATAAATCTAATATTCATTTATTAAATATTAATAAATCTTTTTAAATACTAAGAAATATTTGTTAAGGACTAAAAAGTGGTCTTTAATAAATGGTTTGTTAAATATTAACAAATATTTTTAATTATAAGCAAATCCTTCTATCAGTGCATATTTTTTTATTTTAAGGATGTTTTGAAATAATATTTATTTATAATAAATCAAAATATGTGTGTCATCTCTGCAAACGAATTTTTATTTATTTTGTCCCTCTAACTTAAAATTTATAAGTAGATTTTTTTTTGCCTCTCCCTTGGAATTCGAGTTATAAAGGTTATACTGTAGTCATTTATTTGTTGTAAAAATTATTTATTCCAAATTGCACGCCTCAGAACGCGAAGCGGTTGAGGTAGTGCTTTACTCCCGACACGTCAAGGTCAATCAATTTTGTGATCTTAAAATGCCTCTTTCACAATCATATTGCACTTATACAATAATATAAGTAGACGTACATCGAGAAAACATTTTAATTAATCCATTTTATAGTTTATAAAAATAATTTTATGTTGCTATTTTAAAAAAAAAAACGTTTTGAAAAAAATTTTACGTGGACGTCCGGATGTCTGTACGCTGAATTTGTATGTAAACACGATAACTCCCGAAAAAATTGATGTATCGAGACCGGGCTTTTTTTTATTAGTTTCAGAATTCAACAAACTGGTGCTGTATTTTATATCACTAGCCTACTCTACGTAGTTTTTTTTTTTAAATGAATTTTTATTAAAATTCACAATGATACACACGTACAAAAACGAAATAACTTTTTTTATTTCTCTCACGTGAAAACTGTGACGCCACTTAATAAAGTTAAAATTAGAATAACCAATCACATTACTAGATTTTTTTAAACTGCGCGCGCATATGACAAGAAAAATGAGCGCCAAAAATTAAAAAGAAAAAATTAAATAATATTTTGTAAGAAATAACTTAATTATTATTATTATTATTATTTTTTTTTTTAAGTTAATTGTACAATTTATTTTTTTCTTAAAAAATAAATAAGATGTCTACTTTTGAATTTTCCAAACTTTAAAAAAAATTGACAAAATTTTTTTTTTAAATAAAAAATTTTTTTAAGTTTTCAAAAATTACTAAAAGTACAATAAATCAAAATTTATAAAAACATAAAAAAAATTACCTTTATTAATATTTCCAGCCATATCAGCAGAGCCACCAACAGAAATAGCTTGAACATAAACACCTCCGTCATTACCTTCAGTAACTTGCAACCCAATACTTCCTCCATGGCCCCTTTCTAATTTAATTGTGCGTAAAATCCGTTCTTCAACAAACGACAACTCTTCCAATCGTGCCATAAGGGACGTCGACATAGTTTCATCATTCGATATATGAAATGTTTCATCATCGATCCGCAAGTCAGCATCTGAAGTAACAAAAAAATTAATCAAAAACTCAAAATTTCTTCTTCTTCTTCTTCTTCTTCTTCCAAAAAAAAATAATTTAACATACTTAAAACATATGCTTCAGCCATAGGCGATTCATTGGAATGAACCAACGAGCGTATAGAAGAAACGGAATCCGATTTGAGCGACATTGATTCAAATTCATCAGCCGAGTCTTTGGGCGCCAAACTGTTGCCATAAATAGCCCGGGTGCCCATTTTAACCCCCAATCGTCTAGGCAAGCTGGGTGTCCTTGAACCCTGCTGATCTTGCTGAAGATTATTAGCTGAAGCTGGATTGCTATTAGAACTAGGAAGACTTGAAGTTTTTATTTTACTATAATTTTTAGCGTCATTTTCCGCGTTCCAGTCAGAAGCGGACTCAGTCGAGCGATAAACGTGCAATTGATTCTTCTTAGACCCTCCGGACTTATCAATCGCGGCATAAAGCTCTTCTGGATGAATCGCAACTTTATCACTCGATTTGTAACCATTGGAAGACATCAACTTAGGAATATCATAAATAGACTTACACAATTGCCCGATACTCTGATAATTATACGCGTCGTCTCTAAAGACTCTGCAGTTATCCAATTTATCACGTTCATTCAATTGAGCACGTTCACTTTCATCTTCAGTATCACGGGAGGCGCCTTCCGGCTCCAATCGAGCGCCTTCTGGCTCTAAGCGTGCATTAACTTGTGCATAGAGCCCGTCGTCTTCTGGCGTGTAGCAAACAGAGTCATTGCTAATTTGCGACGGGCTTGAATCTTTATCAGGATTTTCATTTTCTTTGTTTTGAGAATCTTCCAACGACTTGTCGGTGACATTAACAGCCTTTGTCACCGAGCCAATCTTAACTTTGACTTTGCTTTTTGATTTAATATTTCCAGAAGATTCTGTTACCAAGGCAACGCCAAAATCTTTTATCAAATCTTGATGCGACGTCAATCCTGATCTGAATTTTTGGAAAAATTGATGGTGCAAAGACGTCAAATTAAAAGCATAGTAACTTTTTTTGTGATCCATTTTGAGATGAAACTTAAGATGCTTACGGCCATTTTGTTTCGTATAAATTACAAGGCCATTTTTGCTGTAAGTCAACGTATAAATATCCCGCCATTCAAGTCGGACTAATTCCGTTATTTCCCTAACTTGCCCAGCGCGTTTGAATAATTTAACACCCTGGCCGTAAATTCCAAACCAAATGTTAGTTTCTGCTTTTCTAACTTTGCTATTTTTATAATTGCTTTTGACCTCAGGGCTAATATTTTTCGGTATAGCGTAAACATTTTCCTTACCTTCAACGTTAACAATAGTATCATTGGGTTGATAGTTAATTTTTTTAAGCTTAGATTCTTTCGACAATTGTTGGATAATTTTATTCAACTCCCTAGCATCAATTGTCGCAATATAAAGATGTAATCCATAATCATCAAGTTCTTGAGCATGAGTAATAAATAATTCCTCAGCGGTATTAGGATCTAGCCCTCGTCTATTTTGGTGGGCTTGATGCAGCTGCAATGTTAGAGTTTCATTAGATAAATTCACTTGGGATCTTTCCTCAGAATTTGATAGAATCAATGTCTCGGGTACGTAATGCTCTAGAAGGAAATAATTTCCCCGACCGTGTTCATTCTCATTGTAATTACCGAATTCCGCTTGCAGAGCAAGACCTGTCAAATTGACGAGCTGCGGTACTGAGCAGACCAGCTGCTGTTCTAAAATACATCGTCTTATCTGTAGGTACAACAAATGCTTTGAAATCCAGCTCCGGATGTTCCGTAAAGAGGGCAGAAAAAATCTTTGCCGTAAGTAAAGCATAAAGCTCGTTGGAAGACAAAGGGGTCCTGCTTTATTTTTGTCATTTAGCCACCCAGGCGGCGCTACTTTGTGAAGCTTAGTCTCTGGGGGTAACATTGCAAAATCTCCGGCTAACAAAGCCGCCAAGCCAAGAGTGAAGTTCTCCTCCAATTGCTCGGCTTGAATGATCGCCTGGAATAAGTGGCTCGCAGTTATCCTGTTACGATCACATACTACGTCGATACGCTGCCCAGAGAGCAGAATGACAACCAACCGGCCTACATTGTTGCCCTTAGGGTCACCAATTTTGAGGAATTTTGACGGTTGATTAGCTCGTACTACAAATTCCGGACCGACACATTGTGTCTTGTTCAGACAACGTACTGGACCACCAAGAGCTCGATATAACCGCGATGGAGCTCGTTGTACGGGTTTACCACGACGAGCCCTTGGCCCATTTCGTACTTGGAGATTCCGAGGTGGTTTGGGTGGCGGTGGGTTGTTGGGAGGCTCGGGTAGAGAGATAACTCCCGGATAAGAGTAATTTGTCACTGCGTTGTTAACTACTGAAGATTGGACGTTGTAAGTAGATTCTTGGTGACGTTCCATCTGTTCTTGCGGTTGCGAGTGATATATTTTATCCGGATTTTGATAGAGCTTTTGCTTTTGTTGGAATTGGTGTTGATTGTGATACTGCTTTTGAGATTCTATTATCGACTCTACTGAATTGCTTCTCAAGTTTTGTCCTGCTAAATTACGGCTCTGAATTTGCGGGCTTGAATACTGCCGATGCAAGGCAAGATGGGCCGGGCGATTTTGGTGGGAAGAGTCGGGTATAATTTCTATGCTACGAAATGGCACTTGGCCAAGATGAGAATCTTTAATGTGCTTTTGAGGATTTGGATTGTAATTGCAGTTATTATTAGTTGTGGTAGGATCTAGATTTATCTTTCCCTTGGGTCGGACGTAGTGACTGTTTTGATTTTGAGTGTGCTTAACGGTTAGCCCGTTGACGCGCACATCCTGGGAGCTAAGAAACGGCTTTACGGGAAAAGCGTAAATAGGCTCGCTGTAGACACTAATTGGAATCTTTTCATCGGTTTTACGGTTTGCTGGGTTTAGTATCTCCGAATCGTTTGCGGGCTTGTTGGGACACTCGGAATATATCGGCTGTGAGTTGGTTCGAATGTGGCTGGGTGTTTTGTCTGTTAATAACGCCCCGTTGGATTTAATATCTGTTTGGGATTTAAATTGATGCTTGGTGAGGTGCAACGTCGATGGCTCGAGGACACTCGGAAGATTGGGATGAGACCGTGAATTGCGTGATTGAACTTTGAAAATCTGTCCTTTGACGTGGTGAGGCTTTGTGTAGTTACAGCTTGGGGGAATTGATTTTTCATTGTTTTCGGTACGTTGATTCCAGCGATGAGGATGTAATTGACGTGAGGACGCCGCTCGGTTACGGGCTATGTACTGAGGCGATCTTATAACTTCACGGTACATGTCCATTACTATACGAGTGAAGGGCTTTGATATCATACGTGTACGACAATACTCTGATATTACCTGAAAGGTTCAATACATGCACTTTAAAAGAGATCAAATTTCGGATTTTTACACGGAAAAAAGTAAACTGTAAAATTCACTCGGATTCCGGTTAATTTTTAGAGTTTCAAACAGTACAGCGGACATCGGGATGGCAAAAATATCGCGTGCTTAATGGTAAAAGGACTTATAACAATTTATGTGCCCTTTTACCTTTGCAAAGGTAAAAGGGCGCATAATTTTTTTTTTTATTGCCAATCGAGTAGTAGACACATTCTGCGCTTAAAATTGAAAAAAAAAATTACAAAGGTAAAAGGGCATATGTCTTTAATTATACGCCCTTTTACTTTTAAGAATTCGAAATTTTGGTGATCTAAAGGTGAAAGGGCGTATAATTTTTTTTCGGCCAGTTTACAAAAGAACATATTCGTAGTTTAAAAATGTGAAAAAAAAACTTTCTGTAGTAGTAGCGGCGTAAAACCTCAACTATACAATTTTTTAAAGTTAAAAAAGAAAATATATCTAAAATTTAATGATAAGATAATTTACAGGCTGTGATATCAAACTTCATCATTTAAATTATAAACTTTATATATACTAACATTTAAATTTCTTAGAAAAGGACTTTTAAATAAAAACCATAAAAATACAATTAAAATTACATATGAGAGTAAAAAAGTAATTCAAATAACAAGATATCAGGCTTACCCTGAACCGAGGAGTCAACCGAACTAAAAAGAAACTAGCTAGTGTGAAAGCACTAGTACATAACTTTTGACAGGTCAGTTAGACCTTTATATTCAAATTAAAAGTAACCTCCCTGCTGAAAGATCCACATAGATCCAAATAAAAAACAATGATTGATTGGAACTTATTGTAAGCTATTGTGTTTTTGAAACAGGAATTCCAAATACCATCTGATGAACGAAAAAAATAATAAATTTATTGGATTTTATGTGGTACGAGTAAGACCAACTAAATTCTATTAGTATTTCCAAGTGGGTATGAATTGAGAATGGATTTTGTTGATAGAAGCTTACGAGGCTGAATCAGTACAGAATAGGTACTTGCATTGTAGTTTTCTACAAAATTATTATCGAAAATACCCATAAAGAAATATAATAATCTATTTGCAAAGACGGTTGTATGTCTTGAGTAGCTTCAAGTGAGGACTATCATTTTGATGTGGTAATTGCAGATGAATTTCTAATTTTTATTATGAGACTTTGCCAGTGATATCGCGTGCTTAATGGTAAAAGGACTTATAACAATTTATGTGCCCTTTTACCTTTGCAAAGGTAAAAGGGCGCATAATTTTTTTTTTTATTGCCAATCGAGTAGTAGACACATTCTGCGCTTAAAATTGAAAAAAAAAATTACAAAGGGAAAAGGGCATATGTCTTTAATTATACGCCCTTTTACTTTTAAGAATTCGAAATTTTGGTGATCTAAAGGTGAAAGGGCGTATAATTTTTTTTCGGCCAGTTTACAAAAGAACATATTCGTAGTTTAAAAATGTGAAAAAAAACTTTCTGTGGTACCCCGGGAAAAAATGATCAGACCTGACCATGCCTGTTCATGTATGATTAGGTCTAAAATTAGACCTGATCAGGTCTGTCCATGCCTGTTCATATCTGTTCATGTCTGAAGTGTTAATTACGCTCAGGCCTGAGCAGGCCTATCCATATCTGTTCATGTCTGTTCATCTCTGAAGCGGTAAATACGCTCAGGCCTGTCCATGTCTGAAGCGTCAAATACCTCAGGTCTGACCAGGCCTGTTCATGTCTTTAATCTCTGAAGCGTTAAATACACTCAGGTCTGATCAGGCCTGTCCATGTCTAATCAGGCCTATCATAGTATTCTCACCACGGGCAGGAAATAAGAAAGCCTCAGATCACATGTTTGTCGACCTCGGCTTCGCCTCGGTCAACAATTACATGTAATCTGAGACATTTCTTATTTTCCTGCCCTAGATAAGAAAAATACTATTTCTCCTCGACGGAGGCAGAAAGCGGCATTTTCGTTTAGCGCAGCGGGAGAAAAATTGACGCTTTCCGTCCGGAGGGAAGAAAAAATAGAGCGATTAAAGCGGGAAATTTCAAAATATTTGAATGTTCTCTGTCATTGTGATTTTTTTTTATTACTTAATTTTTACGTAATTTATTTTTGATTGATTTATTTTCTATTTGTTTATATCAAACTTTGTATATGAGGCTATTATTTGAGTATAACTTGTCTTGTGAAACTATTATTGACCATTTGGTATAAAAAATACAATTTTTTTTATACGCCCTTTTACTTTTAAGTAGTACTTTTCTTAAAGGTGAAAGGGCGTATGTCTTGAGATAAGTTTTAAAGAAAAAATTTTTTTATATGCCCTTTCAGCACAAATCCCTATTAACCCTTAGCTATAAGTCCTTTTACCTTTAAGCACGCGATATAAATATTACAAAACTTAATGTAGAAAGTGTAAAAGCCACAATTTATAATTTAATATCGAAAATAAGTGATTAGTAGCTGTCACTATAGTAAATAAAGACTCTCTCATCTTCAAAAATTAGAGTTTCAAACAGTAAAAATTGCCATTTCAATATATAGTCGATACTATGAGGAGAAGGGGAACTCAGATGAGAAGGGGGTCTCACTCTGAGAGAATTTAACATTTGAAACAGTAAAAATTATACTTTTAAAATATACATTTTACCAGTCCAAGCAGGTCAATATTTATAGTTTGATTTTTAGCGTTGCGTTTAAAATTTACCATTTTACTTTGTAAATATTGACGTTGCTTGTATTAGAAATTTACTAACTTTATTTTATACTTTTTACATATCATACGATCATTTTTTAGGTACGAAATGATAAATATCAAAGTCAAAATTCTTAATTATTATATTTTAACATTGTCGACATTCACATAGCGAATATTACTGTTTGAAATAGTATTTTCTTCCATTTGAAGAATAAATTGTAGCGTTTAAATGATAAATATTATAAAGTGAATAGTAAAATAACGATTTTATTGTTTGAAATGGTAATTTTTAGCAGATGATTATTACTTATTATAAATCGACTATTATTCATTACAGTTTACTTTTTTCCGTGATATAATAAAATATTGGAGATACTAAAAAACTATTAACCATTTTTCGCCGATAATTTAATTGATAGTAAAATTTACAAATTTTTTACATCAGATCAATGTGATTTACTTTTACCATCAGTTTAGTTGAAAAAAAAATCTTTCCTTTTTTAATAAATGTTTTAAACAATTAATCAATATCTTTATTTCTACTTAAATAGAAATTTGTTCAATTCAAGTTATTTTTTATTACAATTAAAAAAAAAATTAAACTTCTAATAACATCAGTAAAAAATTAAAAAAATAAGAAATTTAACAATTAAATAAAAAATAAAACTAACTTGTTTATCTATAAAAAATTTCATTCTCTCAATGGCTAATATTTTATGAAAATTAAATTAGCCTATGAAAATTTTTCTAATTGTTTATTTATTGAAAAAATTAAAAGAAAAAATTTCACATGTAGAAAATTTGAAAAATTATACGTGTAATTTTTTTAAGTATTTTTTTTACTTGTAATTTAATGGGTGAAAAAAAAAATCAAAAATTCTTTTAAATTTAATTCAAAGAAATACTTCTAAAGATTAAATTACTGGACTTTCCATAAATTGTCGACAAGATTTCTATTGTCGGACATTTAATTATCTCCAAAGAAAAACAAATAGAACTAACACAATAAACTACTATCTATTAAAGCTGTAGAGTGCATTTAAATTAATAATATGGATCCCATATTTTACGCGGTAGCTTGTGCAGTTAATTCATCCGTGTAAATTAAATGTCAGGGATAATGTGCCGGTACATTTTCAGTAACAATTAAATTACATAACACATTATTGATTATATTTTAATTTTGATAAAATAACGTAAGGGTATAAGGTAAAAGCCACCATTATTGACACTATATAAGAGTTGCTTTGGTGATTTTTTATGTTGTGTGGGGGTATTGTGGGAGTCTTATAAAAAATCGCCAGCTTCAAAGGGCCCTTGGAAGGATTTTATCTTAAATTTTTTTTTTCCAAGTGTAAGTTTTTAGGGTGGCTGGAGGGGTGGTTTTTGTGTTTTGAGGGGCTAATATATCATTTTTAGGGCTCACTGTCTCTATTCGAAACTGAAAAACCATTTTCAGTTTCAGGAGCAAAAAAAATTTTTTTTTGATTTTCGTTCATAAATGAACGTTCGGAACTTCAGGTACATTCATTTTTTTCAAAATAATATTTATTTTTTCACTCTTCTGTGTCACAAATAAATGTAATTTTTCAACCGAACACTAAAAAAAACTTCATTTGAAAAAAATGGGCATTCCTGCGATAAGAAATCAATTTTATTTCTTAGCTGAAGAAATCAAAATTTTTCTTAGTCATATTTTTTTGATTTGGAAAAAAAAATTTAGATATAGATTAATTTGCAAAGTTTCATCCAAAATTGTTCTTTTTCCAAATTTGTGAAATTTTTTTTTGAACAAGAAAATTACTGTAAGAAAAATTTTTATTTCATCAGCTAAATAATTAAAATTTTAAACAAATTAATTTATTATTACAAAATTGTTCATTTTTTTAAAATCAAACTCTGAGATGCCAACAATATTTAAAAATCTATAAAGGTATATTATGACTTATGACTATGACGTTTTGCAAGATATCCAATTGTGTGTACATATACGTAAGTAATCCATAACTTCTAAAAAACTTGACCGATTTACATGAGTCGGGTGGCAATCGAAATCTTATTGGCCATCGAAACTGACCCACATTGAGATCAATCGCTTGAGTAGGTTCTAACTTTATCAAGAAAAGGAAAAAAAGGTATTTTATTGGGTATATTCAGTTTTATTCGAGTGGATTAGAAACTGCTTGATTGATTAACTCCTGAATCTAAGCTATTGAACTCTAGAGTTTAGTAACCTCTTCGACTCGGTTAACTCTTTTGAAATTCATCCTAACAAAGATTTTACGGAAATAAC